GAGGAGTGGAAACATTTTCTCCTGTGGATCAACACAACAGAGAAACACAAGAGAAAATACCACCTGGGAGCCATGGGAGGGAGGGCCAGGGACGAAAGCAGTATGTCCAGTCGTCCCCAGCCCAGGCCATATGGTTTAAACATCATCCCTCTTTTCTTCCCCCCAGACTTTTATAGATATGCTCTTAAAAAAAATCGCATCTGGCCCCTTCTGTTGGCAGTGTCCGTGTCTGTGGGGTGGCTCCCAGCACAGTGGGGACCACACTGTCCCTCCATGTGGCCCCACTGGATTGTGAGCTAACACGTGGGGCCGGCAGGGCACCCACAGTGGTCCTGGGGGCCCATCCTGGCCTCCCTCCTCCCCTTTTCCCAAGTCTTGAGGACTCAGTTTGATACTCGATGGCTTCGTCTCATCCTGATGCTTCACCAAGTATGATTTGGATTCTAATACATTTAAGAGGTTGCTCAGTTCAGAAAATGCCATTTTGTTTTGCTTGAACAAAAAAATAGTTTTGAATTCAGTGTATTTTTATGCCAAATTCTGCCATCATCCCATGCCAGGAGCCTAGCAATCACAGCATTGGGCTTCTAATGAGTATTTTCTTGATTTACAGCAGAAACGAGCAGTTATCTGCTAATAACCCCTGTGTCTGAAATTAAAAGGGTTAGAGAAAATAAACCAAATTGCAAAGATCAGCTCTTGTTAAATAAACTCATTGTGAAAAGACATATAACAACATTTTCATGCATCAGATCAACGCCGTGATGGTTCATCATTCGAGGGTTGTAATTATTTAATACTACTTAGCAGCCACAGAGCACTTTCCCTGTGAACATTTAATGGACATTTGTTAATTAATTCTCAGCAGAGCCCATCCAGCTCCTCATATGCAGGGAAACTGAGGCAGGCGTGAGCAGGGACAAAATGGAAGTGCTACCCAAGAACCTCTGGCCCGGAACCCTCCCTCCCCTCCTCCCTCCCTCCTGCCTCCCCTCCTCCCTCCCCTCCTCCCTCCCTCCTACCCCTGTATGACTCAGGGCCCATCCAGTCCTGCCCGGGATGTATGGCCCACAGGGAGTGGCTAAGTGCTCTGAAGAAATTCATAAACAAAGGCATGGTTAAAGGAATTCGGTTCACGTTGCCTTTGATGTTCCTACAGAGTCAGATGTCAGTTGTATTTTACCCACCAGGAGAAACACTGGAAACTTGAGATAGTCCAGAGTGACTTTGGAGTTAAAGAGTCCATTGGGTGGTGGGTGCCAGGGTGGCAGGAGCAGGAAGTGGGTCTGTGGACACAGGCCGTGTGCTCACAAGAAGAAATCACACCCCAGTTAGAGTCACCATGGCAAGGATCATGGCGAATGGTGGCCAAGGCGGCAGAGGACAGGTTTAGAACTTAAATCCCCACAGGTTCCTGTTCTCCCTCCCACCCTAAGTGTGACCTACCCATTGCTTTTGTCAATAGACATTTAGACGAATACAGTTATTAAAATAAAAACTGCTAATCTGTGTGTCACCTGAAGTCACCTTGCCCAGGAGTCTGTGGCCCCACAGTGTAGAATGCCCTGGGCTCGATGATTCTGTGGCATACTCCGCAGAAGTAAAACCTGTCACAGGGTGGCCGTGGGTCCCAGGCCCTGGCGTCTCCTTGCTCTCTGACCTAGGAGGGTGAGCCGGCTGTGAGGATAAAATGAGCTCACAGGAGGAGAGTTGGGGTCTACAGGGAAACGCAGGCAGCTTTCAGCATGAGCTGATTGTTGGTCTTCTCCAGGGCTTCAAGATTTCTGGAGTTTAAAAACGGTGGAGGGGTTGCATGAACCTTGAGGTCATTATGCTCAGTGAAATAAGTTAGTCACAAAAGGACAAATCCACTCTCAGAGGTCCCTGGAGGAATCAAACTCAGAGATCAGAGACAGAAAGTAGAGTGGCAGGTGCCAGGGTCTAGGGAGGGACTGGGGAGTGAGCGTTTAATAGGGACAGACTTTCAGTTTTGCAAGATGAAAAAGTTCTGAAGATGGATGGTGGTGATGGCCACATGACAATGTGCATGTTAAGATGGTAAATTTTATTTTATGTATGTTTAACTATAATTAAGGAAAAAACAATGGAGGTGAGAGAAAAACAAGCTGGTGATGGATGCATAGGGATTTGAACTACTACTTTTGTTCTCTGCTTTTTTCATGGTTGAAATTTTCCACCATAATTTTTAAAAACATTTCTCAGGAAGTCCTAGCCAGAGAAATTAGGCAAGAGAAAGAAATAAAGGGCATCTAAATTGGAGAAAAGGAAATCAAACTGTCCCTATTTGCAGAGGACATGGTTTTGTTTTGTTTTTCCTTCTGAGATAGAGTCTTACTCTGGTGTCCAGGCTAGAGTGCCGTGGCGTCAGCCTAGCTCACAGCAACCTCCAACTCCTGGGCTCAAGTGATCCTCCTGCCCCAGCCACCCAAGTAGCTGGGACTATAGGTGTGCACCATAATGCCAGGCTAATTTTTTAATTTTTTTGTAGAGACAGGGTCTTGCTATGTTGCTCAGGCTGTTCTCAAACTCCTGGGCTCAAGTGATCCTCCCCACCTCGGACTCCCAAAGTGCTGGGATTACCAGCATGAGCCACCACACCCAGCTATCTTTTGGTTTTCTAAAAATTTTCTTTCTGCAATTTCCTCTTGGCTATTATAGTTGTATCCAAGCTTTTTTTTTTTTTGCATTGTATAAAAAGTCTGAATAATTAAAAATAAGTCATCAAAGAGTATTAGTTAAAGGTTCAAGAAAATGTTCAATGCACAGCACGAAATGAGGGCGTCTTCTCACCTTGCTGCTGGACAAGCTACATAGAGACCATGTCCCTGTATTTGAGCTTCACAGTCCCTAGCCTCAGCTATTTTATTAATTTTTTTATCTATAATTCTAAACTGCTATTGCATTTATTAGAACAATGAGGAAGCTTATTGAGGTTGTATTTTTATTAAAATTTCTATTAACTTTTGCTATCAGTGCAGTTGTAGATTAATTAATTTTTACTACTCTTCTAAAGCAAAAAAAATATTAGAGCTGATCCCAAATCACTTCAAATGTGAAACAAGCCAAGTCAGAAAAAGAGAAAGAGTGATCTCCAGGAGCATGTTTAGATTAGGAAAAAGTTTATGATTGTGGGGCATGAAGTTAACAAGACAGGATCTTGAGAAAAGGAGAGAAAAGTTTCCTCTTCTTGTAGGGCTGGTTTAGGGGAAGTTCCGCTTGAGGAAGGATTCTGTATTCATTAATTCCCATAAATAAACACATACGGGTTTACGCTTTTAGTTTAGTTTTAGGGGGCTTATAGTCGGTAAGGTTTTTTTTTTTTTAGTTAAGGTAAAGTTTACACAATGTATAAAATTCACTATGTTATAGTGAACATCATTTAGCACATTCAAAATGTTGTCCAACCACTTCTATCTAGTTCCAAAACATCTTCATCACCCTGAAGACACCCTGTACCCACTGAGCAGCCACTCCACTACCCTTCCCTGCCCTGCCCCACAGCCCCTGCATCCACTAGTCTGCTTTCCGGGTGGATCTGCCTAGAGCCCAACTCACACCCTATGTGGCTTTGCGTCTGGCTTCTTTCACTGCACATGACCTTTCCAGGCTCATTCGTGTTGTAGCTTTTACTGGAGCCTCGTTCCTGTTTGCGACATCCCATTGTGTGACATGCCACATGGTGTTCGTCCCGCCCTCTGTGGACGGGCCCTCGGTCTCGTTCCCTCTTTGGCTACTGGGGAAAATGCTGCCACACACGTGTGCACATGTGTTTGTCTGAGTCCACTTTCAGTTCTCTTGGGTGTTTACACCTAGGAGTGGAGTTGCCCGTCACATGATAACTCTACGTTTAACTTTTCCGGGAACCACCAAACGGTTTTCCACGCTTGGTTTTTGCCAGTCACCATCCTGAGCCCCCTGTCCCATCGAGAGGTGCACAGCTATGACACAGAGCTGGCAACCAGTGAGAGCCACTGCTCACCCTGTCAGCGTCTGCCCGACACGAGGGCAATGTCCGGGGTGGACCAGAGGTTCCCTGGCAGCTCTCGGCTGTGGCTTGGTATTTCCTGAGACACCAGCCCGTGGGTCTCTGCGTAAGCAGTAGGTCTCCTGGGGATGTTTTCTGGCACAGTGTGACTGTTGCTATCAGCCAACATATTTTTTTCCCTAAATTTGCTTCATTTTGAACTGAAATATGGTATAATGAAATCTTCCAATACTCCAAAGAAAGCTGGGAAGAAAACACCAGCAGTCTACTGGAAGGGAGACAGGAGCTCGGTAATTACAAACAGACCTGAGGCAACCTCACGTCCTTATTCCAGCCTCTTTCTGAGTGTGGCCGTTTGTTTGGGCACGGGGTGGCCCCTGGCGCTTTGCTTTACTTTGGTACCTGGCCACTGCAGGCCACCGTTGCTCCCCGGGCCGTCTTCCTCTCCAGACAGCACCCTGGGTGCCTTGCCGGCTCGAGCCCGCTGGCCCCGGGGAAACTGCCTGACTGTGTCCCAGAGGATCACGTGGGCCAACCTGGCACTGCCAAACTCTACTTGACCTTGAGAAAGAAGTTCACCTCCCTTGTCAGCTGCAAAGCTTCTCCCAGGTGAGTTCAGACAAAGATATCTAAGTAAGCGTCAAGCTCTGCTATGGAAAGCACCAAGCTGCTTTGAGTTGGAGAGGCAGGAAAGGGGGTGGCAGGTCTGGGAGGCTCGAGAGAGGAAAGACAGACGGCAGAGAGGACGCCTGTCCAGGGCGGAGCAGCTACCGTGTGGAAAGTGCAGCCGCTGGGTCAACGGCGCCCCCCACGCACAGGGCACATCTGGTGCCCAGGTGTTTGAGCTCTGGCCTGGCAGCCGGCCAGCCTCAAGGATTCCCTCTCTCCCCTTCCTCTGACCTCGCCACACTCGGCGCTACCCAAAGAACAATCTGGAGTTGTTGCCTGAGCTAGAGGAAGCCAGGGCTGAGCGACTTCTGTCTGAAAACCCAGGCTTGGTGCTCAGTCCTCTGTCCCTCCTTAGCGCGGCCGTCCCTGCTGGCTTCAGGCGGGCAGAGGAGGCCCTGAGCTGACGTCTCCTGCCTCCTTCGAACACCCGGAAAGGACAGTGTCCAGGTTCCACGCAGGTCGCCCCAGTGGAAGCTGCAAGCGTGTCTTAGGAACGTTGCGAAGAGGGACTTGCTTTCAGTTCTGGGAATATTCCTGGCCAGTAATTTGACTAAAAGAACGTCCCGCCATCGCTGCTCACACCCCTCTTTAAACCTTCACAGACGGTAGATTCCACTTCGTGTGATCTGGGTAGAATGTTAGGGCTCAGAAAGGTCTTTCACGTCCCGCATTTGCATTTTCTCCCTCTTTGCAGAGCCACCGTCCTGAGAGGCTCCGTTGCTAGATAACTAATTGCAGAGAGCAGAGCAGGCTGCCGGAGGGGGAGCTCCTCCCCTGAGCAGTAGGTGAGCCGAGCTCCTGACCACTAGGAAGCCCAGGGCGATGATTTGTCTGTCAAAGCTGGAAGGCACAAATGCAGTTATCAAAACAAGCACTGGCTCACATGCGCAGGACCAAAAATAAATTAGGGCAGGCCGAAGAGAAACAGGCTGGCTGCCAACGGGACGTGCAGGAGTTCCAAGAGCAGAGTCTATAAATGTGGTCCTGTTTGTTTTTATGAGGTTCTCAAGGAAAACCTTTTATGGAGTGGAATTCTGGGTGTTTCCTCCTAATATTTCTTAAAACTAAATTAAATCAACAAACGGTTATTGTGCCCCTGCAGTGAGTGAGGCAGCCTTTGGGAAGCTGCAGTTTGGGAGCAGGAAAGGAATAAAGAGACAGGGAAGAAAAAAGGGTGACAGTGCTCCCCATGTGTGGCTCCCCCCGGGGCACAGGTGGAGGAGGAGGAGGATGGAGTGAACTGGAAGGCGGATCAGGGTAAGGTGAGGATTCTGAGCCCCGTGGCTGGCGAGGCGGCCCAGCTACTTCTCCCGGGAGCGCGGGAGGAGACCACAGAGCGAGGGAGATGCAGAGGGAGGGCCTGAGACTGTCACAGAGCCGATGAAAGAGGCACAGTCTCCGATTCAGGAAACACAAGTCCCAAGCGGGACAAATAGAGAGAAATCCACACCTAAACACACGGTAGTGAGAAGTCACAGGCCATCAGGACAGAGAGACGACCTTGCAAGCTGTCAAAGAGAAGAAATCCATCCACTTGCCCACGGGTGACCAGAGTGACGGCAGACTTCTCAGCAGCAACAGCAGAAGGAAAGACACAATGGAATGACGCCTCCCAGTGCCCAGAGACAGCAGGTGACTCTCCATGTCCAGCTAAGCCTTTTCTTTCTTTCTTTTCTTTTGTTTTTTAAAAACAGGGTCTTGGCCGGGTACAGTGGCTCAAGCCTGTAATCCTAGCACTCTGGGAGGCCGAGGCAGGCGGATTGCTCGAGGTCAGGAGTTCAAAACCAGCCTGAGCAAGAGTGAGACCCCGTCTCTACTATAAATAGAAAGAAATTAATTGGCCAACTAATATATATAGAAAAAACTAGCCGGGCATGGTGGTGCATGCCTGTAGTCCCAGCTACTTGGGAGGCTGAGGCAGTAGGATTGCTTGAGCTCAGGAGTGTGAGGTTGCTGTGAGCTAGGCTGATGCCACAGCACTCACTCTAACCTGGGCAACAAAGTGAGACTCTGTCTCAAAAAAAGAAAAAAAGAAAGAAAAGAAAAGAAAGAAAAACAGGGTCTTGCTTTGTTACCCAGTCTAGAGTGCAAAGGTGTCATTATAGCTAACTGCAGCCTCAAGCTCCTGGACTCCAGTGATCCTCCTGCTTCAGCCTCCTTAGTAGCTGAAACTATAGGTGCATCCACCACACCCAGCTCCAGCTAAGCCATCTCAAAGTGAAATAAAAACATAGAGACATTTTCAAACCTGTAACAAAGTGCATTTACCTGTAACAGACCTTTGCTGAAAGAACCACCAAGGAAATAAGGAAATTCCAGAAGAGAGACGTAAACGCCAGAAGCACTGGAGAGATAAAAAAAAAAAAAAGTAAATGTGAGTAAACTGCAATAAACATTGATGATACAAAATACAACAAAAATCACCCTTATTAGGGTGATTTAAAAACAGATGGAAACAAAATGCTGAGCAGCAGTAACACGTGACACAGGGGATGGTTGTTACAATCAAAGGAATCTCAGGTCTCTGTCTGGTTCAGGAGGACAGTAAAGATTCTGGCTAATTTCTTTTCTGAAAAGCAAAATAAATTTTAAGGAAAAAGAACAAAGAAAGCATAAAAAAAGATTCTGATTAATTTTAGACTTTGTTAATTCAAGTATGCCTGTTAAATTTTTTTTTTCTTTTTTGGAGACACAGTCTTGCTCTGTTGCCCAGGATGGAATGCAATCATAGTTCGCTGCAGCCTCAAACTCCTGGGCTCAAGCGAGCTTCTTGACATAGCCTCCAGAGTAGCTGGGACTATAGGTACATACCAACCCTCCCAGGTAATTTTTTAAATATTTTTAAGAGATGAGGTTTCACTATGTTGCCCAGGCTGGACTTGAACTCCTGGCTGCAAGCAGTCCTCCTGCCTTGGCCTCCCAAAGTGCTGAGTTTATGGGCACAAGCCACCACACCCAGCCTCTTAAAAATTAAGAGTACAGGCCAGGCACGGTGGCTCACGCCTGTAATCCTAGCACTCTGGGAGGCTGAGACGGGTAGATCGCTCAAGGTCAGGAGTTTGAAACCAGCCTGAGCAAGAGTGAGACCTCGTCTCTACTAAAAAAAAAAATAGAAAGAAATTAGTTGGCCAACTAAAAATATATAGAAAAAATTAGCCGGGCATGGTGGTGCATGCCTGTAGTCCCAGCTACTTGGGAGGCTGAAGCAGGAGGATTGCTTGAGCCCAGGAGTTGGAGGTTACTGTGAGCTAGGCTGATGTCATGGCACGCTAGCCCAGGCAACAAAGTGAGACTCTGTCTCAAAAAAAAAAAAAATTAAGAGTACAGTAGTCCCCCCTTATCTGCAGGAAATATGACCGAGACCCTCAGTGGATGTATGAAACCACAGATAGTACCAAACCTAATATACATACTATGGTTTCTCCTATACATACACACTTATGATGAAGTTTAATTTATTAATTAGACACAGTAAAAGATTAATAACAATAACTAGTAATAAAATAGAACAATGATAACACTATGCAGTAATAAAAGTTATGTGAATGTGGTCTGTCACTCTTTCGAGATACTCTAATATTTTTAGACTTCAGTTGTCTGTGCATAACTGAAACCAGAAAAAGCAAAACTGTGGACAAGGGAGCACTGCTGTGCTCCTAAGAGACTCAAGAGTGTAATTTGGCCAGGCGCAGTGGCGCACGCTTATAATCCTAGCATTCTGGGAGGCCAAGGCAGGTGGATTGCTGAAGGTCAGGAGTTTGAAACCAGCCTGAGCAAGAGTGAGACCCCGTCTCTACTATAAATAGAAAGAAATTAATTGGCCAACTAATATATATAGAAAAAATTAGCCGGGCATGGTGGCGCATGCCTGTAGTCCCAGCTACTTGGGAGGCTGAGGCAGAAGGATTGCTTGAGCCCAAGAGTTTGAGGTTGCTATGAGCTAGGCTGACGCCACGGCACTCACTCTAGTCTGGTCAACAAATCAAGATTCTGTTTCAAAAAAACAAAACAAAACAAACAAAAACAACAAAAAAGAGTGTAATTTTACAGTTGTGATGCAGAGTTTTCTTTTAAATAAATTTACTTACGTGAAAAGAGCAAGTTGGTTTAAAGAAACATAATGAGAGCTGGACGCGGTGGCTCAGCCTATAATCCTAGCACTCTAGGAGACCAAGGCAGGTGGATTGCTCGAGGTCAGGAGTTTGAAACCAGCCTGAGCAAGAGCAAGACCCCATCTCTATTATAAATAGAAAGAAAATTAATTGGCCAACTAATATATAGAGAAAAAATTAGCCAGGCATGGTGGTGCATGCCTGTAGTCCCAGCTACTCAGGAGGCTGAGGCAGAAGGATTGCTTGTACCCAAGAGTTTGAGGTTGCCATGAGCTGGGCTGACGCCACATCACGCACTCTAGCCTGGGCAACAAAGCGAGACTCTGCCTCAAAAAAAAAAAAACATAATGAGTTACAGTTGACAATAGGTGGTCTGGGGTGTGGCCATAGCTGTGCCTGAAATTTGGAAAATACTGTCACAGCCAATATGTCACAGAGCTTGATTTTCATTGAAGGACATCCTATTTGTTTGTTTGGGATTTTTTTTTTCTTTGCATCCCTTGAAACCTATCTTTGAACCCTAGTCAACTAATCCTGTGAACACTCATTATTATTTTTTAGATATTTGAGTGATGCCAGAATTTGTGGACGATATTTAAAATGAAGTTACTGTTCAGTGTCTTAGGGACCATCTATTTCCTTAAACTGAAATGCACAGCTGAGCACCTCTGCTTCTGTGCTGCTCTGTTATTGATGTTGCAAATCATCATTTTAAATGAGCTCAGGCGAGGAAGGCCCGGAACCCAGGGGCCCCCCACCCAGCCCAGCTGAGCCCAGATGATACCCAGGAATTTGTGGTAATATTAATACTTCGCACATTGAAGCTTGCAGAATAAACACTGAGCTCGTCACACAGCCCAGGAAAAACCTGCTCGCTGACCACAAGCAGCTTCCTTTCTTCTGCAGAATCAGAGTTAGACGGGAACTGCATGGTTCTCTGACATCCTTAGCCACACACACGCACATGCACAAGTGTGTGCACATGCACGTGCAGGCACATGCAGTTCCAGCAAAGCCAGCAGCTGCCGAGCAGGGCTGTAGTGGTGCACATGCTCTCTCGGGGCATTTGTCTGGCATCCCTGGCCAGAGCGCCCCTCTCCCTGGGGTCCCTGGCCAGCCTTATCCACTGACATTTATACTTATTATCTGGGAGTCGAGAACAAATTACTCAACAAGTCTGAATACTAAAGAGAATTTTTTAACATCCAATCAGCCTAAACCGCTGTCAAAATGTATCCACCGCTCTCTTCCTTCCACGTCATCGGAGTTTATGGGCATCGCTAAACTCTGGGCAAGTTTTCCCAGATACCTGCCCTTTGTTACTCTAACTCACACACATCTCATGACCCCCAAGCCCCGTGGGTCTGATGGGCCTTCCTTCAAACCTGGGAGGGCATCAGCTGCTGCCCCCTTTAGGTTGAAGGCAAGTTGACTTCTTTCTGTTGTCTAACCACATCTGCATAAATATATCCAGTTTGAATTATCACATATTAATTGGCCCCATTCGATGGCCTATCAAGTCCACTCTCAGCAAGTGAAGGCCATTCCACTTTGATAATTTTACGGTGTAAGCCCTTTTTCCTGCTGTTCCACAAATCCACATTAGTGGGCAAATGATAAGAAAACTAGGGACCCTCTGTTGTAACTATGTTCTCCACATACTACCGTAGCAGTTTGAGGGGAAGCAGAGAAAGAACTTGTTAGCTTCTAGCAGCCAGAGAGCGCCTACAAGCTGCCCCTGAGCACACAACAACGGTGGCGTGGCTAGCCAGGGCACGGTCAGATGTGGCAATGGCGGCAAAGCAGTCACCTAAGAGCCCGCGTGGAGGGGTTTGGTGTTTGGTGGCTGCCGCTAGGCGGGCCAATTGCCAGGGATAGACAAGAGTGCAGAGGAGCCTGGACAGCCCTTTCAGTCTCAGATTCCTGGAGCCTCACTCTTGCGCCAGTAAGAACACCCCTGGGCGGAGTGGTGTAGGGCAGCCCCCAGACGGGAAATGGCAGGTGCAGTTGTGGTGAGCGTGGCCAGCTGCAGTATTCACTCACTCCTGCTGGTGCCAGTGGCAACTCTCCTGCATCATGGCCGGGCAGGTGCCTCACACCTGTCATCCCAGCACTTTGAGAAGCCAAGCCAGGAGGATGGCTTGAGGCCAGCAGTTCAAGACCAGCCTGGGCAGTATAGCAAGACCCTGTCTGCACAAAAAACTTAAAAAAATTAACCAGGCGTGGTGGCACTCAGGAGGCTGGGGCAGCAGGATTGTTGAACCCAAGAGTTTGAGGCTAAAGTGAGCTGTGATGATGCCACTGCACTGCCTGTCTCTAAGAAAAAAAAACTTCTGCTCCACAACGTTGCATTGGAGCACTCAAGTTTTTCGTTAGCTGACTTTAAACATCAATCTTAGAAATCAACAAACAAAACTCCTCTAAAGATGTGTTCTCCTCATGCACCTTCCTGGGTGCGGCTCGAGTCAGGAGGCTCCCGGGGTTTGTGCAGCCCCCACCCCCCCTCCGAGTGGGAGATTGGCAGGCCGGGAGCCCGTGGGACAGGCCCACTTTGCATCTTTACCTTAATTGCTTCCACGTGCCATATGTATCCGGAGTCCTGTATAAACAACAACCCAAAACAACAGGAGGGAGGACGCTTCTTACAGGGAATTCCGTGACAAGTGGGAAAACTGCCAGCAGAACTCAAGAACCGAGCGCCAAGCCTTCCCCGGGCTCAAGGCCAAGTAGAAGCCAGCGAGCGAGTGGGCAAGCGCCCCTCGGAGCACGGCACACCTCGCAGGGAGCCGCGAGTCAAGGAGCTGCCACCCAGGGCCGTGAGGGACAAGCACAGGGCTCGACTCTTGTCCGGAGACGGCGTGGCACAGGAATGTGGTGGGGCCAGGGGCTTCTCCTGAGATCTTCCAGGCAGACAGTTTTGGTAGATGAGGAATTTAGGAGAAAATAAGCCCCTTGATTTCACTTTGAAAATACTGCTTTTCTCCGTAAACCATAAACACGTTACGGAAGTCTACGCGTTGTGCTGTCCAGTCTGCGTCTCAGCGTGGTGGCAGATGCCTTGTGCATTACGCCTAAGAGGCTGCTGTCACTCCATAAATATTTATGGGCGACCATAATCCTCCCACATTACAAGGATTTCTGGACTCGTTTTACAGCCGTAGTTGGTGCTGTACGGTGGGTTAGAAGTCATTTTGCCGAAGTGCGTTTCTTGCCCTCAAGAAAACCTGCTCCTGGCCCCTCTGAATGAAGAACAGAGCTACG